TGTTTATAAAAAAAAAATCTAACCTACAAAAGAATACTGAAAAAATATATGTTTTTGTACAACATCAGAAAAATGTTTGGTGAAAATTTCAGACCTCTACATTCCATACTCTCCGAGGAATCGATTTTTCCCTAAAAAAAAAAAAAAAAAAAAAAAAACATTTTTTTTCAATTTTGATTTGTTATAAATAATCACAAATGAATAATTGGGTATAAAAACCTATTGGAGTATGTTGAACAACTATTCAGTTATCTGGCAAACTCAAATCCCCGATTAGTTCCTCAAAATTATATGATTTACAACGCAAAATTGAATCAAGAAAAGGTGGGAGGTATACTTCTCACTAACAGTGAAGGGGTTAAAGGGGGAATTACATGCGGAGTAGGCCGTTGTTCTCAAGGCTATTTTTACGAATTTTTTTGACAGAAACTGTAAGATCAACGGGGCTTGAAATTTTCACAATGTATTCATTAATGTTCAAAGTATAAAATAAATTGGTTACTATCTATATGGAAACTACACATCAAACTTTAAACGAGTTTATCTGGAGACCCCATTTTCTTAAACTGTCGACACGATTATGCAAAAACTACGGAACCGAATAACTTGAAACTTTTACACAATATATATAGTACAGACATGTAATTTTCGCCCCTACTCCGAAAACAGTTACATTTTATTTTATTCATTTTTTTAAACATAATTACAAGTTGAGAAAAGTTTTATTTTCGACACTTTCTTCTTGTACAGTCCTTATTTTTCCAAACTTGGCTTCACTTTGGCCTTCACTTTGGTATGGGCAATCATATATTTTAAAAATCTCTCAGTTTTTCGTTTCAGGGTAGTGAGAGGGCGGAAATTATGTCGACAACATAAAGCTCGCAAACATAGAGCCCGCAAACGGATGACTGCATTTTTATCTATAATTACAAATCGGACCGGTTCTTCAATAAAATTCCATAAAACTTATTTTATACTTTGAGCATTAATGAATACATCATGAAAATTTCCAGTCCATTGATCTTACCGTTTCTGTAAACATAAAAAAAAAAAACTTCGTAGAAATAGCCTTGAAAACATTCCATGCTCCGCATGTAAATAATTCCCCCATTAACAACTGCCTCAATCTCTCTTCGGCGGACACACCTCGGCGCGATCCTCTCTCGTTGTTTTCAGCGGCGTGCGCGTGTCCGTTCGCTCTTCTTTTCTTTCCCTTTTCTTCTTCATCAACCCTTCGTTTCCAGTTCACGCGTTCCACACGCTGATTTCCGACTTCGGTGAGCGCGCGCGCGCGAGCTTAACATTTAGCACCCATTCACGTTGACGTGCGCGACAGGCGTTCAGCCGCGCGCAGATAATGCCGCCGCCATCGCCGGTTAATAATGCTACGCGGCCAATTATCTTTATGACACGACGACGTCAGGGCGTGTGTCACATGCGGCCGCCGGCGCGCGGTAAAATTCCCGGAAAATCTCGACAAGCGTTTCAGCCCGCCGGCCAGCCGTGTCTGATCCGGTCGAGGACGAGCAGCGAGCGCGGATCCGCGAGCGAGAGCTCGACGTTTCGGAAACGCGTCGCGGGGAAATGGCGGATTTTTTACGCGCGCACGCGGCGAGGCGAGGCTACGTATTCTTTCCGAATTCCTTTCTTCCGAAAAGCGGAGCGACTGCCGAGTCACTCGGATCCCCAGCGACTTTGCATTCGCGTTCCAGCGAATCCCCCTCTCTTCTCTTCTCGCCCGTCCCCCGAATCGTCGAGTGAATATTTTCGAGTATTTTCGAGTATTAAGCGGAGAAGCGGATCCGAGACATATCTATCCCGTCGGAGAAGCGAGTTTTACCGAATCGATCGGAAAACTCGCTGTAAGGCAGGTAATCGATTCCAAGCGCGAAACATCATTCACTCTTGCGATTCTCAGCGGCAGCGTTTCCTCATTACCGCGTCTCGAGCGAACTCTTCGCCGGCTTCCGGTGATAATTCGCGAAGAATCCGCAGAACCCAACGGACGATAACGGCTCACGACGTCGAGCCGGCGATAAGCGCGGACAAGGATATGATTCCGACGAATACGGCGAGATCCGTCAATTAGTTACACCGTGGGACAGCTAATTAAGTCGGTCATTAAATGCTAATTGAATCAATTAGAAATCCCGCGCGCTCGACGATAGCGGCCGAGCCGGCCCCGCTGACGGAGACGACGACGACGACGACGACGACGACGCGGAGGAGCGCGGCCGGCCGTCTCTTCCCGCGCGCGGACGAGTTAATAACGTCACTTTGATAATGCTACGCACACCCACGACGCGCGATTGTCCGGGCCGATTAAATTAGCCAATTATTCCGCCGCGCCAAGGTGAATTCCTCGGCCGGACCGGAGAGAAAATCCTGACGGGCGTTTCATCCCGCCGCGCTCACCCGCCCACTCGACGAAAAACTGAACGCGAGCAAAATAAGACAACGAGTGGGTGGAATAAAATTTCGTTTTGCGTTGAATAACAGCGCGAGCCCGCGGCATTACCGCGTTCTTCTCTCTCCCTCTCTCCCTCCCCCCTCCCCCCCTCTCTCTCTCTCCTTTTCACTTCCTCCGCCGCTTTTTCCGAGCCGTTATATCGCGCGCGGCAGTGACGTGTCTCGGCCGCGATTCCGCCGCAACTCGCACAAAGCGCGACGCGCGAGTGATCGATCATGGAGCGGCGACGTTTCTTTTCTTCTTGAAACGAAAAGAGCCCGCGCGGAAGAGCCAGCGTTAATTCAGCCAGCGGACGACGCTGCGCGTTATGCCGCCTTATATCGTCCGCTGATCTCGCGGGCGGCCGAGGAAAATTCCTCTCCCCCCCCTTTTGCCCCGCCGTGAATTTTTCTCACGGCCACGGCGAACGAGCGCGCGAACGGCTTCACGCTAATCGGCTTCGACTCCCGGCGCGCAATCGATTACGCGCGCGTCATCCGCCGCGATGAAGTTACTCGATCGCCTCCTCCTCCTCCTCCTCCTCCTCCTCGACGTGGCAGCAAGGCCGCGGCCAGTTTGCGCGAATTTGCACGCTTCGCTCCGTGCGGAGGACAAACGTGTGGCGGTCATTAAAGCGCGTCGCCATCGCGACGCGAACTCGCTCGACGGCGCCGGCCGGCCGCCGTTCTCGCCGCGCGGTTTCACGGATTTCGCGCGACGAAGACATCTCAGCGTCGCGCACTTGCGCGAAACTCCGACTCCTCCGCCGACTCTCCCCGGTTCTTTCAGGCGCTGGAAGCTGTAAGCTCGCCGCTCGCAGTCCGATCTGACAGCACTTCGGGTCACCTCGAGTTCATCTTCAAGTGCTGAGTAGCCGGAGAAGACGGCTCTTACGGCGTCTTCGGGCGAACTTACGGCGCTCTCAAACGTAAGATCGAGCCGTGCGAGAGCACCTGGGACGCTTAGAACTCCTCACCGAAGAGGATCGTTCGGCCAGAAGAGACCGCACGGGAGAGTGCGGGCGGCGGCGGGAGGGAGAGATTGATTCTCGCTGTTACGGCGTGCGAAATCGATTGTCGCTCTCTCACGGCGTCGCCCTTACGAGTTGAGGATCGATTCCTCGCGCATCGACAGCCGCGTAACAGACTCTCTCCTCCATCGGCCCCGCTTCCTTTTTCCCCGCGCTCCAGCAGATGTGACCCGGCGCGAGCGAGCCTCGACGCTCCGGAGCCGCGCGAAAGAAATGCGCGCGCGGGACGCTCCATCGCGGAGCCTTCGAGACGCGCGCGCGCGTGCCGCCAGCCGCATTGTATGTTAATGGCGATTATGCGGAGGATAGCAATTGCCGATCGGCCCGTGGTCCACGGAATAATGGCGTCGCTCTTGCTGCGTGCGTGCGTGCGTGCGGTGCGTCGCGTCGCTCGGCCCGGCCGCAGGATCGTCTGGAGCCCACTCGCCGGCTGTGGCGCCAGGATATCGCCTTAATACCCTATCTCGGCAGCGGGGAGGGGTCTCTCGGAGGGGGAGAGCGAGAGAGACCCGAGAAAAAGGATACGTGTTAAGTACACGCTTAAATGACGGCCGCCTCGCGCGCGCGCGCGCGACACCCGAGAGCGCGGCGACGTAAATCCTGAAGGATCGCGCGCGCGGCGACGCGCCTCCTCTTCTCCGTCGGCCCTCGGACGCGACCCGGAGCCGACGACGAGAGACTCGTCCGTGCCGTTCGGTTCGGAGCACTCTATATACACGGTGGCCCACGTAAAGTGTTACAAGTTTGTAACTTTAAAAATATTTATCAAATCGAAAAATTGTTCATAAGGAAGTTTCGTGTTCATTCGAGAGGCCTCTTTAACTACATAAACACAATAAAGTCACCTTCCCGCTTCCCCTTTGAGGAGGGACGGGGATAGATAATTTTATAATTTTAAATGGAACCCCTTGTTGTATATTTGGATTCTACGGAAAAAAACAGCAGTAAATTTTATCTGAAACATTTGTCTGGAAAATCTATCAAAAGTTATAAGCATTTAAACCTTTAGCGACGTCATTCATGATTGAACTCTATTGATATGAAGTCGCGCTCACGATACAACAAAAACAAAAATGGCCTTAGAGTACAATACTGGATGTTAACGAAAAGAAACATAAATAAACACATTTATCGGGAAACGTAACATGTTAAATACAGATCACAGACAAATACAGATCATCAGACATTTGGTTAGCTATGAGCTGCTCGATAACTTTTGATAGAAGCATTTTCCAAACAAATGTTTCAGGTAAAATTTACTTGTTTTTTTCCCGTAGAATCCAAATATGCAACATTTTATAGGGGGTTCCATTTAAAATTATGAAACTAGCCCCGTCCCCCCTCAAAGAGGAAACGGGGGCGACTTTACGTCTATGTAGTTAGAGAGGCCTCTCTCTCGAATACATGAAACTTCCTTATGAACAAATTTTTTGATTTGATAAATATTCTTAAAGTCATGGACTTGTAACGTTTTACGTGGGCCACCCTGTATGTATATACAACTCGCGCAGAAGAGCTTACCGCAATAATGGACCAAGATGTGGAGAGTGCCGGCGTGGACGCGGCTGTCGCACCAGGAAGCGACGTCGACCTGCGGCTCGAAGAGGGAGAGGTCGAGGCCCTCCATGTCGCTCTCGCCGCAGGAATCGCTGAGAGGCTCGAAATTGGCCGCGTTGGCCCCTTCGTCCTCGTTCGCCAGCTCCTCAGAGAGGTTGTTCTCACCGCCGCCGCCGCCGCCGCCGCCGCCGCCATTGCCGCCTCCGCGGCTTCGGGGCGTCAATGCCATTTTCGGCGGAATACCCTCTTCCGTTCCCTTGCCGCGAAACCGCAATGCGCCCTTCTCCTCTTCTTGTTCCTCTTCCCCGGCTCCACCCGCCGCTTCTTCTTCTTCTTCTTCTTCTTCTTCCTCTTTTCGGTGCCCGCTTAATAAGTCCTGCGATGCACGCGCGAGGAGCAGGCAACTGTTCTCACGGAGATATTTCCTCGGCGAGGCAACGTCGATTTCCTTCAGCGTCGTCGTCGTCGTCGTCGTCGTCGTCGCGCTTCACCTTCTCCTCACCGACACTTCCTCTCCCTCTCTCTCTCTCTCTCTCTCTCTCTGTCTTTCTTTCTCTCTCGTCTCGCCTTCTTCACCTTTTCATCATCTCGCGACGAGATTCTCGCCCGTCTGCGGCGCCGAATCGGTGCCGCGGATCTCCCGCACCTTGGAAATGATATTTCCTCCGCGGCAACGCGCTATCTCGCGCGGCGGATCTCCCTCTCGTCGCAGTTGAACTCGACTCCTTGAAAATTCGACGAAAGCTGTACAATCCCGCCGGATATTTAACGTGAGGATGCTCTCGGAGGTGTCTCGCGAGGAGAGCTGCCGCGACTCGAGCGCGAGTCGGTTCGAAGATTCCCCGAGAAGCGGTCGCGTCTGGATCGAGAACGACGCGACGGGGGGAGACGAGGGAAGGAAGATCTCGCGGAGGAAGATGAAATCGACCGTTGACTTCCACACGATCCCGAACGGCTTCCTCGTCGAGCCGGCCAGGCGACGCGGAAGCGCGTCGCTCGACGGCTCTTCGCACCGCGTTCATCCTTTCATCGGCGCGCCGGTCTGCGGTTGAGCGCGAATTAGCTGGCTTTTCTTCGAAAGTTCGATCGGATATTTCACAGGTTCGAGCCTGCCGAGCCTTCCAGGTCTACTCGCGCGCGCGCGCGGCCGGCGGTTCTTTCGCGGTGGGTTATAAGTATCGGCCGCGGGTTTTAATCAGGCGTCTGCCTAATGGCTTTCATAAATTAGCCCCACGCCAGACTAATAACCGTCATAATAACTCCCAGCGACGCGCGCTGCCGATTTTCTCCATAAGTCACGCGTCCTACCATTCTAATTAGGCTCGGCTTCTAATTGCCCGCCGACTGGGGGCGGGGAAGATGGGGAACGGCCCCGCGAGATTGATCGGTGCGTCCCGAAGGTTCATTCCGTTCCTAAATCGCCGACAGGCTCGGAGCGTTTAACGCGCGACGGTTATCGCGATATCGCCCAGCTTTAGACCTTTAGAATCGTTGATCTTGCTTCGTAGTGACACCAATCGCGTACTCAATCGAGTATTTTTACAGAGTAATTACAAATTGTAGCCGTTGCAGGTCGCGACTAAACAGCGAGCTCGGCTAAGAGCAAAGTTGAAGCCACAATGACGATCTAGCCGGTACTCGAGTACCGGCCAGAGCACACCGAGGTGCTTGGACTCGCACTGAACTCTGGCACATTTTCATCTTGATCTTTAAATATGAACTTTGCGTGAATACAAATTCCAATCTCTAACATTCGAGTAGAAGGTAAATGTCCCAGTAACTGGACGTTTAAGGTCGTCACAAAAAATACAATAAAAATAATATTAAGAATAGTTTTGATATGAATATTTGCATTTATTCGAAAACTTAAGATTCCCTCAAGTAGGGAAGAATTATTTAAACCAATCTACATATCTGTTATTAACGAAATATTTACGCGAGTGATGAAGCGCATTGTAATGTACCAGTGTAACCGAATTGACAATTGAAACAGGTTACGGCCCAATTGGTTCGGATATAATTTTGTCCCAGTGTCTGGCCGCAATTAGAAAATTAGCACGTGCCAACGGGAAATAGTATAAATTTAATTATTATTAATTTATTAATTAATAAATAATATGAATTAAAAATAGATGCTATCTCTTAATAAATTTATTAACGATTGATCATTATTTTGTCAAACCATAGGCGCATAATTATTTCATTAATTTTTATTTTGACGCAAAAGTATCAAATATATTGTTTTCCAACCAATTGTCAAATATATTAGAGCTTTCTTTTTTACAATAATTATTATTTCCGTTCATTATTGTGAGAACAAATAAGGAAATATCTTTTGCAAAGTGGTCGGATACTGGGACGTGTCCGGCGATTGGAACGTCTACCTTACATACGCGCTCGCTTTACGTTGAAAAGGTTCAAGCGTTCGTACCTAAGGTATTTCGAAAACGAAGACAAAGATGTCCGCGGTCAATTACGCAGGCGGGCATTGGTGCTTTTGCCTTACCGAAGAATTACGCAAAGAAAGGGGAAGCGAATCCGAATGCGTCGTGCGACAGCAGAGCCGAGACGCGAAGACGCTCGCGAATTAATCAAGGGCGTCAGACAGGCGCGACAGCCTCGCGCCCGTAATCTTCGATCTGGTTTACTTGTATGAATTCATTGAGCATGACAAAGTCGTTCGTGAGGAGCCTACCGTGTGCGAGACGCGCGAGGGATTGTCGCGCGCTCCCTCGCCGCTGCCGCCGACGAAGACGACGACGACGACGACAACGGCGGCGGCGGCGGCTACGGCGCCGCTCGCTTTCTCGGGCAAGCGGCCAGCCTGTGCTCGCAACCTGTCGCTACGAATCCCTCAAGTTCAAGATCGCGATGAAAGAACTCACTTTCTCGCCGTCGCCGGCCGGTTTAAACGGGCGTGTATGTAGAACAACAGGGAGCGCGCGACCGCCTCGCGATCGATCGCCGACTCGACTCCGAGTTACCATTTGTTACCATTTTTCTCAGCTCGCCGCGAATCGCTCGTCAATTTGTCACGCGGCGTTAGAAAACGCCGCGCGATTCCCCGTGGAATATTCAATTTGCGACCTATATTTGCTAACCCCCGAACGCCGAGCTTCCGCTTTTCGTCCCTCGCCGAGCGGGAGGCGTTAGAAACTCGCGCGACTTTCTCTGAAATCTCGCGAATATATAAACTTCTGTCTCTCGAGCGCCATTTTGTTTATCAATTTGCGCGGAACGCTTCGCAAGATTACGTGCGAAGCGACGACCCCGAAAATCCGCAAGTCCGCGCGCAAAACCTTCTCGACGCTCGCGACGGAAATCGGCGACGAACACTCGCGCGGGGACAAAACGGCGGAACGACGGAGCGGCGTGGCGGTGTTGAGCGAGAATGAGACATTAATTATCTGGCGCGCGAGCCAGCCGTGAATTACGATGCCGCGGCCGGTCCGCCACTTCCCCGGCACCGATAAATTATTTACGCGTATTTACGCGACGCGGCTTCTCGCGGAGGGGCCTCTCCGCGGATAAAGGCGAAAAAACCAGTTTCGTCGAAAGGAAAGAGAGGAGAGCGCAGGGAGAGGAGGCGCGGGAAGGAGGGAGAGGATAAATAAATTAATAAACGAAACGCGACGAACGGGGGGGAGGGGGGAAGGGGAGCGGGCGGCGCGGCGGAGGAAAACGTTAGCGACGCCATGAGGAGAACTCGCATACCGACCGGGCCGGATACCGTATTCGTATCCGACAGGCCTCTAATACGGAATCATTAGTCATACGCGCGAAGGACGGGGCCCGATCGGGGCCCGATGTCGTTGACCCGCTTTCGCGACGCGCTCCGCGACCGCTCCTTCCGCTTCTCCCTGCGAATTCGGCGCGCGACGCCGATGAGATCGTCGTCGGGAATACATCGCGGGCGAGAAAAACGGGTCATCAGCGCCGCAACGGAGGTCGCGAGGAGATCGCGAGAGGCAAGGAAGAAATTAATGCGAGTCGGCACGCGGTGAAGTTACGCGTTTCGCGTAACGAAGAACTCGCGAGAGCCACGGAGACGTATCGCGTCGCATCTAGGGACGCAACGATAACATCGATAATATCGAAGTATCGATATGTCGAGAGACAAATACCGAATATTTGTCGATATTTTTTGGTCTCCTATCGATAAAATCGACATATCGATATGAATTTGACTGATACTTCGTATTTCTCAGTTACAGCTCTGGGGGGCCTATTACGGTTCTACGACCGAGATGAAAATTACAAAAGTGAGTGAATTCACTGGAATATATATTATGTAATTTTGGTCGATGTCCAGTAAATTCGCTCATTTTTATCATTTTCACCTGAATCGTTGAACTACTCCATGTATGCGGTGATCTCCGGCAAGCGACTGCGGTTTATTATAGAATACATTTTCTGATAAGAATATGACAATAAATTATATGAAGATAAAAATTTTTAAAAGATCTTTCTAAATCTTTCGTATATACTCTTATATTTTATATCCCCCTTTTTTTTTTATAAATATCGATATTTTTCAAAATTATCGATATTATCGTTATCGACGGTTCTGAATGACGATAATATCGTCATCGATGTTTTGAGAAATCGTTGTCGATAACGATAATATCGATAATTTTGAAAAATATCGATATTTATATAAAAAAAAGAGTATATAAAATATAAGGGTATACACGAAAGATTTAGAAAGATCTTTTAAAAATTTTTATCTTCATATAATTTATTGTCATATTCTTATCAGAAAATGTATTCTATAATAAACCGCAGTCGCTTGCCGGAGATCACTGCATACATGGAGTAGTTCAACGATTCAGGTGAAAATGATAAAAATGAGCGAATTTACTGGACATCGACCAAAATTACATAATATATATTCCAGTGAATTCACTCACTTTTGTCCCTAGTCGCATCGCACAATCGGGCTCGGGTTCCGCTTATTCGTCGATCAGCGCTCGAGTTATTATTCACCACCCGTCGCGGCCGATCGCGGAAATCGCGGAGATACCGCCGCGACCGCGACGCGGCGGCTAAGAAGCCCAACAAGAGGGAAGAAAGCGGCCGCGGGGGTGGAGGAGAGGCGGGGAGAGAAGCGTTTCTCGCAGTTTCTCGAGTCGAGGCGAATTTGGCGGCACGCGGCGGCGCAATCAGCCCCGGAGCGTTCACCTCCGACGTTTCACTGCGCCGGGTTATCGATGGCCCGCAATTTGCGAAAACGGAGCGCTCTCGCACGGCGCGTTTCCGCGGACGTGCGTGCGTGTATCCAAATTTATCGCGCGAGCGAGCGCGGATCAAGATCACGCGCATCTCCGATCGCGCGCCGAAGATCACGGCGCGTGAACTGGTTTCGCGAGAGAGCATATACCGGGTGGGAGCGCGAGTGGACGGCGAAGCGCGCGCGTGCACGCACGAGAGAACGGCGGGAGAGGGAGGAAGTGGAAAAGGAAAGCGGTGGCCGGCCGAGAGGTCGTTCGCATCCGAGTTCGAAGTTGGCGGGCGGCGAACGTGTAATCGCGTTTCGTGACTACGGCGTAGAATTCGTTGCCCTCTGTCCTCCCGGTCCGCCTCCTACGTAACCTCTAGGAGGAGGAGGATGTTGGGGGAGCGTAACAACGACCGCTGTGTATGTGTGTGTGCGACATGTCGAAGAGGAGAGGGCAGCGAGGAGGAGGGAGAAAGAAGACGAGAAATTACCGGGTTGTATCTCTCG